CCAGGCTCAGAAACATTAGGTTGACGTGTTGTTGTTTTCAGGTTGTCATGACACCAATCTGATTCAGATACCCTATAGACCATGACGTAGCGAAAAAAAATCATAACTTTAACCATTTTGTTGTGTTGTTGGTGTTTATATTGAGCAGTTGTGGGCGCGCGCCCATGCTTCTGCCTCCAGTGGCGGCGTTGAGTGGGAGTGAAAGCTCTGTGGCTGCAGCTGAAGGGTCTGAGGAGTCAGCAGATGCAGCATCTTCTCAGCACGCCCGGCAGCCGGTGAAGCGGAAGCTGTCGCGACCAGCTTCAGACGATCAGATCGCTTTGCGTGTGTTGTTGGGTAGGCAATGCAAGTGTGCCAAGCAGAACTGTTTTCAGAAGTTTGGCCCGGAAGAACAGTTCCAGAAATTAGTTGAATTTCGAAAGCATTGGGCTGAACTGCACAAACTCGACCAAGACAAGGTTGACGCTTGCTAGAGGTTTAGGGTAACGTGTTTTGCTTTTGACTCTGAGTCTCTTGGTTTTTGGTGCGGGTGGTGATTGGTTCGGTTTCCTTTTCTGCCGCCACCGTTGGGCCCAGGTGTTTGAAACTTTGCGGGCTCGAGCAGAGAAGCAAGGGGAGCCCTGGAACCTGCTAGGCACAGATCTGTGCCTCAAGACTTGGAAGCTTTTCCACGGGATTGGAGCCGTGTCTAGAGTCTAGACTTTTTACATACTACTCTTGGGGTGGTTTGGAATGACAGCAGTTGGTATCATAGATATTTGGCAGTCCTTCCTCACTTTCCACCAACGGTCATTTGTCCCCAGGATCACGGAGGCTTTCCAGAATGTATACATACTACTCTTGGGGTGGTTTGAAATGACAGCAGTTGGTATCATAGATATTTGGCAGTCCTTCCTCACTTTCCACCAACGGTCATTTGTCCCCAGGATCACGGAGGCTTTCCAGAATGAAACAAGCCGTACAGCAAGGGAAGACTTCCGCTCCTGCTGATTTGCGGTATTTGAAGAAACCGCATTCCAAGGTAGACCAATCGCAGCGTTCGAGTGTGGTTAGCTTCCTTGGCCACCTATACAACAGCGTAGCGGAAACGTTACCAGACTTTCGAGATGATGTTGAGAGCGCCAAAGCCGATGTAGAACTGGTGGCTGTGAATCAGGGTTCAGACGATGAGGATGCCTATGGGGACTTGATTCAAGTGCGCGCTGAGAGCGCCAACGAGAGCCAGGCAAAACGATCCAAAGAGCGGAGAATGCGTGGCTGCGTGGAGCTGAATGTGGCACGGAAGCCGGGGGTTGGTGGGCAGGAGACCCGCTATTTACCACCAGGGCAAATGAAAGACATGTGGGAGCAATACAGACTTGGGCTACAGAATTCCACGACGAAACCTGCAAGTTTCAGTCTTTTTTGGCGGGAACTTTGGTTGCATTCATTTCTTTTAAAGAATGATTTTTGGTGAGGGTGTACTTTAAGTTTGTTCATCATTGAAGTATAATGTTGGTACAACCCCCACGCCAGGTTTGGTTGGCTGACTTCCCATTCTTGCGAATAAGACCTAGCCGGAGCCACCCTGAGTGCGCGGTGTGCGTCAAGATGAAGCTCTGGATACGACATCTGGGAGACAATTTGCACGCTAGACGGCAACAGCTTGCTGCGTACCACAGCCACCTCCACCACCAGTACATGGACCGGCTATGTTATTGGGAACAAAGGGGGGTGAGCCGTGCCCACGATGGCAAGACAATTCTTGCCATCGTGGACGGCATGGATCAGGCTAAGTTTGCATACCCCCGACATTTGGGGTTGAAGAGTCGCCTAGTGATAATGACGGGGCTTTTTGTTTTGTTATTGTTCCCCGATTCATTTCATATTGTTTTCGTTTGCTGCTTGACAGCCGCCCACTTCTAGCGCTCACTGTCTCAGGCAAAGAGTTCCAGAGGCTGATGAGGCCTCGTGCCCATGTGGTGGGGTGCCTGGTCCACGGCTACATGGTAGCATTCGCAGTGACAGAGCCAGACTTGCCCAAGGACAGCGCAACTCACTGTGAGCTTATCGCCCACATCCTGACAAAGTTAGCTCAGCAAGGGGTGGTGCTTTCTGAAGTAAGCTTCACACTCCAATGTGATAATACCCCTCGAGAATGTAAGAACGGGATCGTCATGGCCTTCCTAACTTCGCTAGTGAGCCGGGGATTCTTGGATTTAAACAAAGTTTTTCATAGTATCTTGGGTGCCTAGTGGCCTAGTAGACTACACTGTCAACGGCCTGCCCGTGCGCGCGCCTCCCCACATCAGGAATCATTCGGGAGGCCACATTGTCCTCACTACGCACAGGTCACAGTCATGAGGACATAGACCAAACATTTGGTCGACTCGCTTCCTTCATGATTTCCCACAGTGCTCAAACACCCATCGACTTCGTGCACGTTATCCAAGCTTTCCTCCAACAGTCTGACTTTCCTTTTGAGCCTGCAGCCCACCGATGGGCTTTCAAGATGGACCAAACCAGGGATTGGTCGGCTGATTTGGGCTTCAATCCCTTTTGCACCGTATTTAATTTTCATTGATTCCCACCAGCTGTGTTTTTATATGTTTTTTTCAAGACTTGAGACACATCTTGACGCCCTTTGTTTCAAAGGAAACCCTTCCTGCAAGCTGCTGTGCCAGTGCACCTCAAAGGCATCGGAGGTAGCGGCGCCCCTCATGTCTTCAGATTTCAAAGAAGGTCGAATTGTGGTCACTGAGATGTTGATTCAGATTCAGCAGATATTTTCAATGTCAAGCTTTGGAGATTGGAATGAATTGGGTGGTAAGGTTTTGGTGAATCCATGAACGATTGACAACGTCCCAGGTTTGCAGCCGAATGAGATTGAGGACAAGCACTTCAAGCTGAAGTTGGGCCAAATGGGAGCGGACGACGTGATTCTGAGGTCACTTTGATACAAGTCGAAAATAGAATGAAATCTCACGCATCTCTAAATGCTTTCGACTTTTTGAAGCGTGTTCCAGGTTGACGCTAGGTAATAGGCAAGTAGGTGCTCGCACGCTACTGTCAATGCTGAGGACAAAAAGGTGGATGTCGGACCAGGCTTTCGCAAAGGCCATGTTGTACTACCCTGCGCTGTTGGGCGCCGAACTGCTTCCTTCAGGTGTGCCAGCAGGCTTGTGTTTTTTTACAAAGCTTAAAGGCCTGACTGCAAACCGCAGGTCTACAAATTTGACAGACAGCAAAGCCAAACTAATTGTCAGAGGCCTGAGGCAGAGCATGTGTGCTGGGTTTTGTGTCTCAACGCCGCCCCTGTCAGCCATCGCCGCAAAGAGACCAATTGGCGCCGATGTGCGGGATAACATCCTGTCCCATTTGCCAGCCTTGCGCAGCCCAATCTTCCAGCTCAATAGGGCTGCAGACCATTTGGAGAACTGGGTGAACGGGGTGTTGGATTTAGAGCCACTCCTAGATGTGCGAGCGCGCCCAAGCTGAGCCGGCATTGAATTTTTGTCCTTGTCGACACCCCAATCTACAGCAGGGGCGTCCCAATCTACAGCAGGGCAATAATTCAATTCCCCTTTAAGTTGTCCCCGCCGCTATTTTTGCGTCGTGCGTTTCAGGTGCGCAGCGTCAGCTTCGAGACGGGCGGAGCCCAGTTCTGACAAAGCTCCACTGGCTGACAACTTTGAGTCGTCGTCCAACTTGTTGACGTGTCACGGCGAACAGTGCGAATTTTCTTTTTGTCCGAAGAGCCGTGTTGTATTTGCGTTAGGTTAGCTTGAAAAGTGGCGCGCGATCGATGGGAAAACTTCCTGCTCGTCTCCAGGATCCAGCGTGTGGCCCAGAACCGCAAGGCTCTGGCTGTGTACATGCAGCAGGCAGAGGACCGCAGAATGCTTGACATTGCTGCCCGGACTTGGGCGGGCGGAGTGCCCTGGGATGAGGCGATCAAGATTGGTAGAGATGTTTTCAAGAAGATGAAGCGTAAAGACCCAAGAAGGGCAAGGGACAGCGCAGGGTAGATGATGTTGTTATCAGAAAACTTGTTACTTTATTCCTTTACCTGTGTGACCAGAACCATGTCTAGTTCCTGCGCTATCCGGATTTTTCACCCGCTTTGTGGAGCTTGCAGTGATGCTAGGTTTTAGGGTTTTCGAAGTACACAAAAGCAACAAGTTAGAATTTAGCGTGTTCACACGTTTTCTGCAGCAAGCTGCAAAT